CTCTCTCTCTCTCTCTCTCTCTCTCTCTCTTGCGATCGTGTAGAAGCAAGCATTTAATGAACCCAATGAAAGAAACAACTTGAAAACAATCAGAAGAGAAGGTAGAAGTCCTAGCCGGAGCGGCAATTCATTTGGACTGGAGAGCAACCAAAACAAAAAAAAATAAAGATCAGAGAGATCTGATTCTGCCACACAATCTGGTCCGACTGCGTATGAGGTCCTCTCAAGCCTAGCCAAACTCAGCTCTGTGAAGACACGCCAAATCAAATTCAAAGTGTACTACATAGTGCAAGGGAGAATTGAGTGGTGTCCAAGGTGCGAGTTAGACCGTGGATCGTGCGGTAAAGTCTATTAAAACATCTCAGCTGAGATCCCCTCAGCAGCGAGTGTCCTGGTCCGAAACCATGAACTCCAAGTCCCATCAAATAGAGCGAGGTAACTGACATCAACAAATTCAGGCCTGAGGCGCCCTTCTTGTTTGGGCCCGGTCCCACTTAGTCCCAAATGGTCCCAATGGAGTCAGAACCGGGTCCCAACCAACCGACATGCAATGGTATGGTGCAGGGTGACCAAGGCCCCGAACAACAATACATGGATGGCATTGGCGGAAGTAGCCTCTAGGGAAACAGGGAACATCTGGCAGTCTGAGGCAGACTGAAGAGGCGGTGGTCTGATGCCAATTGAAGAAGCAGTGGTATGAAGAATGGTCAAATTGATGAACATACGGAGCGCCTCGGTCAAAAACCATCCACAAAGTCGGCAAGTATAGTCAGAGATAGGGGGAGAGGGGGAACTGGTGTGCAGCAGCAGGCATTTGGCGCCAGGTTCAGGGCGAAGAGGTCCCCCCCCTTGTGTTCTTGGCCTGCTCAGTCAATCCCCTGGACTCCACGGACTCCAGGGTAATCAATGCTGGCAGGCCCCCACAGCATGCTTCGGATACACTGCGGTTGTTCTCTAATTCTCAATCTGTACATGGGACGCTGGACCCGTTTTCCAGCAGGTGATGCTCCCCACCAATAGATGGAGCCTCTCCCCAGGTGCTAGTGGTGTCTGCTCTTACCAGCTCCACTAACACCTGGCGGAGGAATTTTTCCAAAGACCTTCTCTCTTCCCCTAACGAATTGAAAAACGAAATTTAGCCCCAGAAAGAACCTACAGACTACAGCCGTTCATAATGAAATAAACAAAGCAATGTAGAAAGATATCGCATGGCGCGCAAGATACTCCATTCATTCACTCGTCGGGTGAGTAGGCAGTTCACACACCTCACACAAGATCAAGACTATGGAGGATGGAAGAAGAACCCAGAATACCCCAGCAGGCAGTCAATTCCATGCACACACACATGGGCACCCTGGTGGCACGACACTTACTTGAGTGGTCGGGCTCTTGAGATGAAAGAAACTCACCCCCCTCTCACATAGTCCTCCTGACCCAATTAGCATCCTCTACACTAGTGTCCTATCATCTACCCAAAGTACAACGCCGGATCCCCCGTCAATGTTGAAGATCAAAGTAGCAACTTGCAGTCCGTAGGTGCAAATAGGGCTGCCACCCTCAAGCTCGCCTAACTTGAGGGGAGCCCTAAAGTCACTCCTCGTCTTCCTTGAAGTCCAGATTCAAGTTGTAGGTGCCCTTCACTGTCGCCTCTCTCAAGTTGCATCACGAAGGCCCACCTTGTGTCTTGCCACCACAAACATGCACTCATGCTACCTGGCCGGGTCTAATGTCGACCCTACACTGCCCTACCAGGTGGGAGCAGCTTCCCTTTACCACGCTGCCCCACTTAACCCTAACTTCCGCCCTAACCCTAACTGGTTAGCCCTTACCACTAGGGTTAAGGTTATGGCGGCAAAGTCAAACTCTTGCCGATACCAATGTTACGATCCTGTCCAATTTCGAAGTACACATTCACCAGCAAGTACAATGCCATACAATTGCAAAAAGAAATGAATGAACTTGAGAGGAGCGAGAGGGAAAGAAGTAAGAAAGAAAAAGAAGATGATATACTCCAGCATAGACCAAAGATAATGCTCTTCTTCTTCGCCAACCAATCTCCTCCTCCCTTATTCAAACAAGAAAGAACAATAATAATGTTGAATGGCTGAACCAGAATCAATGTCCGAATCCCACCTCTACTGCAGGCACAACATGAGGTCCACCATAGCCATGGCCACCCTTCTCCTTCCTCTCACACGTAGACCGAGGCTATGGCGGACTACTGAGGGCTCAACCCTCCTGTCCAAAGGACAACCCAAAGCAGGTATGTCGCTGCCTCCCTGTGCAAAGGACAACGCAAAGCAGCTATGTCACTGCTCACTAGGCCGCCATGCCTGTCTCTGCCCCGAGCTTCCTTGGTGCGGCACTACCCCAACTGGGGCCTTCCAGATGCAGCGCCTAACAAGGTGATGAAGATGGTGTCCACCATAGCCAGGTAGGTACCTCGCCACTCTCCTCATTGGTCCCCTTCTCCCTCCTCCTCCTACCGGTAGAGCTCCACCATAGCAGCTCCACCATAGCCAAGGTGGAAGCTCCCGGCTTCTTCCTCCCAGCAGCGCTGTAGTCGCCAGCGCTACTCCAGCCAGCGCTCCAGCAGCACATCGCCAAACTTGCACACTGAAGAATGAGGGTGGGCTCTTCCCTCGGCCTCTTAATATAGCGGCCTACTTGCCTCCTGGGCGGTGACTTCCAGGCCGCTTGGCCTCCCAAGCAACCTGTACCTCCTCCCTTTCGGAGGGAAACATCATTGCAGACTCTGATATTGCCCGTACAGGCTCGAGACTCAGACTGGATGGACTGGTACCGGCCTAGACCTAGCCTACCGCTACTGGGCCTCTAAAAATGCCAACTTTGTCTTCTTCTGCTCGGCCTCGAGTACCCGGCACATCTACTGCTACTGGGTGCGGTACTGGCCTACCTGCCACTTGAGTGTTTTTCCGCTGCTCTAAGTGTTGCGGGCCTCGGGCTCGGCCACTTGAGTGTTTTCCCCTGCTGCAACCCTCGATGCCACGGCCACAGGTAAGTACCGGCCCTACGGGCCTGCCAAACAAGCAAGTACCCTTGCGGGTCACACACACACTCATACCGACAAGCACTCAGACAGGCACACAGGTCAACAAGCACGCACACATACAGACTTAGAAAACTCCGCAGAATACGGGAATCTCAGCAAGCCATCCATTCCATCGGCAGAACTTCAGAAATCAGCAGTGTTCTCAGTCTGTGTTATGGCAGGTCATTACACACACATAAATCGAGAAATGGTCCAGAAAAAAAAAGAGAAGGAGAAAAAAGAAAAACTCATTGTGCAGAATAGTTCCACTGCCCCTTCCTGTTTGCTGGCTTACATGTTACAACACTGCATTGATTGCACAATGTGGTAATGTATTTGCTCCCTCCCTCCTTACAAACAACCGTCCTTCCAACATCCCCCACCACTTCCACCAAATGCCTCCCCTCAACTTGACAGGCAGCAGGTCGTAAAACAAGGGTGCGGAATGCCTCCTCTCAGGAACTGCAGTCAAGCCACCGAATCAGCACCAAAAAAAGGAGAAAAAAATCGGCCCGCTTCCCAGCCTGCCAGTTTTACCCGGATCACCCTGCGTCGCAACACGCAGGATGGAAAGGGGTGTGTGTGTGGGGGGGGGGCCAGCACAGAACACCAAAAAAAAATTGGCCGGCTTTCCAGCCCGGTTTACCCGAATCGGACTCTGGGTCTACCCCGCTGGATACCCAGAAGAAGGACGAGAGGTCTACAGACATCCATTCAGTGAATTTGGAAGGATTTCACACTGCGACCTTGTCCCCAGTCCCCGTCCCAGAGTCCCGGTTGGGCCAGTCCCAGATGGTCCCAGTAGTTCTCAGTACCAGGGTCCTAGGAGTCCGGTAGGGGCTGTAGGTCAAAGCGTTGTAGTCCGTTCGGATCCGCAACTGAACCATCGTCAGTGGGTAAACGTCTACTGGTACCCAACAGAAAAAGTCCAATCCCAAAGTCCAATTTTGCAGCAGCACCCCACGAAAGTCCAGAGACTTCTCGAAAGGCAACATGCAGTCGACAGGGCGCGGACGACCGGTACCGGTCCGAACCAGAATCTAGTCAAAAGTACTATTTATAGCTGCTACAGTGACATGCCAAACCAGTTGTTCATTGAACTTCATTCGCAAGTTGCGGAAGCGGTGCTGGTGGCTTGTGCGACGATGCGGCTTGGGCAGGAGACCTGCGAGAGGGAAGAAGGATGAAGGCGCCATAACTAGGGTTGCAGGCAGGAGGAGAAGGCGGCCATAGCCACTGTAGTTAGATGTAGAGGGGAAGTGAGTGTGTTCAGGGAGGCATCAGTGCAAGAGACTGACAGAGGGAGGCGAGCGATACAAGGTCTGAGGGAGCAAGATTGTGCGATACAATAGTTGAGAGAGAGAGAGAACCAAGTAAGGGAGGGAGTAGGGTGCTTACTGGTGTCCACTTGGGGATGAGTGCAGCCATAGCCACTGGTTACATGGACTCTTTCTTGTATAATATGATAATTGATTGTGTATAATATGATAATTGATTGTGTATAATATGATAACTGATTGAAGTTCTACATCACGTTGAATTGGTTTTCTTCTCATGGCCTTGTGTGAACTTTCGTATGATCTTTCTGTGCAGCACGCCGAATTTGGGAGCTGAAACAGGGTGGATCATTGCAAATTTGAGGAGGAATTGCTAATAAAGCGCTCAACACTGGGGAAGCCAATTGGCCACAAATATGATCATGTCCAACAGCAGCAATAAGAGGAGGAGGAAGAGGAGGACAAAGAGCAGTAGCAGCAGGCATTCATGTCAATCGCCCTTTTTTTCCCTCCCCAACCCCGGGAGGTAGCAACTCCACCCCCAGACCCCCGGAAACCCGCTGGGGATTGACCACCCTGGCAGCAGGAGGAGGAAGCGCAGTAGCAGCAGGAGGAGGAGGAGATCATACTGTGCAGTACACAGTTCGATTATTTCCTTTTTCAATACATACCTGCGAATATCATCTCGATCCAAATGACAGCTATAGATATTGTCCATGTTCAGTGCAACTGCGCGCTGTAAGGTAACACAAGGGCAACCACCCAATGCAATTTCGCAGATAAAAAAGCAATTCGCAGACATGTCAATGCAGTACCTGGTGCCACACGGGTTAACACAAACCAGAAGGGAAACAGTCAAGCTGATAAAAAAATGCAATCATACATGATGCATCGGGAACCTGCACTTCTCAACTTCTCACTACTTAGGGCATTGGTTCAAGTCCTGGGATAGCAGAAATCAAAACAAACACAGGAAATCACAAAAGCAGATAGAACACAACCTTCAGGTACTATGAGGTCCCGTGCTCTGCAGGTAGTATCAAACATTCCGTCATCAACACTGAAAGGCAAAACACTACAACTACCGTCTTAACCCGAATACAACGTACAGTCATTATAGTTGTTTTTGGGGCAACTTCGACTCTAGATACAGCAATAATGACCATACGTTGTATTCGGGTTTAGATGGTAGCAAATATCCTACAACAAGAAGTATAGCCAACATGTGGTCCTTCCCAAAAGTGCCATGTGGGATAGAGCCCGATCGACCTTCGATTCTCGTTCATGGAGCTCGAGCAAGAAATTTGCTCACATCGTTCACACATAGAGTTGATTGGATTTGATCCAGAGGCAAAGTGCAAGAATGGGAAGATCAGAACATCAGCTGAGACTTTCACAACCTAAGTGCCCCTTCTCACAACCTTCTCTCTCTCTCTCTCTCTCTCTCTCTCTCTCTCTCTCTCTCTCTCTCTCTCTCTCTCTCTCTCTCTCTCTCTCTCT